TTCCGCCCTTAGTTTCCGTTGATTCGTTCTAATGAACACCAACCGCTCTGTTTCAATTTTGGCATACTCATCTACCAGAAATTGACTAAAGAGTGCACGGTAATAATGGAGATGAGAGTTGTCGTTGGAACGGAGCTGAATCATGTAACTGTAAAACTGGAGGGCGGAAGTCTTTTTGTTATCTCTTTTGTCGCAATCCTGGTCAACCAAGAGGATGGCTACCTCGTTTAACGTTGGTGCGTTATATCGTCCTGGATGGGCTGCGGTCGGTCTTTTGTCTGCGCTAATAACGAATTTAAAATTATCGCGCTCGTGTTCAGGCACCGATTCCAGAGCGGTTTTGAAATCGGTAACGTATGGGTTGACACTATGCAGAGTGTTTTGTAATTCCCTTATAAGGCTCAAGTCTAAATTAGGTATGTGTCGGCATCGGACATTAGCCTGTTCAGCAAAATCTGCAATGAAATATATTTGCAAAAATTTCGGAATTTCGGTGGGAAGCAGGGAACCTATCCGAATTTTAAAAGTCGGCATGAATCCAGATTCAGTGACTTGATGAGCTCCAAATGAAGTCATCTGGAAAGCACTGTTGTAGGCTCGAATATTGCTTAAGAAATGGCTGGACTTGGGATGCTCGCTATTCAAAAGAACTCGTAAGATCTCCGGTAGCTCTTGCATAGAGTTTAGTCGTAGCTTTCCAGACGCACAACACATTCCCTTAGTCTCTCCCTTCCACTTACGCGCGTGACAGTGTGCATAAACCTCAGACATGGTGCCAATGTCTCCGTGTTCGATGTAATTAATAAATGGATTATAGGAAAACGCGCTCCTTTCTTTATTGAACCACGGTTGCTCTTCAAGATCATAAACCATAGACTCAATATCAGATGAGGATGAATTGCAATTTGGGCCACACGCTGTTCGACTGACTGACTTGCCCGAATTTCCTGAATCCGCTCACGTTCTTGCGTGGAATAAACAGACACTTCAACACGCATGTCGTGAGATCTTTGCCGAGCAAGTGCGTTGCGTTGCTCGCGCTGCTCGTCTGTCTCCAAAGACCGAGCTAAAACATGCTGTGAGCGGTCTGCACTAAGTCGCGTCTCACGTTCTTCAGGATTCTCAAGTGATCGAGATGTGGCAGTGCGAATACGTTGGGAGCTTAAACGCGAGTCTCTCTGCGTGTAAGTCTCCGAAGCGCGAGATACTGCGTGGCGCTCGCGATCGCTTGCTTGGCGTGTATCGTGCTCCTGACTATTCTCGATTGACCGAGCAGTCTCAGTGCGGAAAAGCTGAAGACTGCTCTCTATAATAATCTCTGCTCTCTCTGTGTTTCCGTTTTGGAAGCGCGAGATAAATAATGACGCTCTCGGTCACGCGCAAGTCGTATCTCACGCTCCTGACTGCTCTCAAGTGATCGAGCAGTCTCAGAGCCGATATTCTGAAGACTCAACCTCTGATCCCTCTGTGTAACCGTTTCGGATGCGCGAGACAAAGAATAACGATCCCAGTCGATAGCTAAACGCATTTCTCGTTGTTCCACACTTTCCTGAGATCGAGAAGTGGTAGTGCGAACTCGTTTAAATTCTAAAGTCCTAGTTTCTGTGGACAAACTTAGTGCATTACGCTCACGGTTAGCACCCAGCCGTTGTTCACGCTCTGCATCGGTTTCGAAAGAGATTTTAGTTTCATTTTTTTTTTCTAAGAGGCATAGCTAAAATAATTAAGAAGGAATTTTTGAAAATTCCTTCTTAATCCGATACTAACGATATTCAAAACAATGAAAATGAAAATGAAAAGTAATCGAACGTACTTAACGTAAGAATTGCTGTTAAGTAGAATAATAATTATTCGCAGGAAAATTAAACACATCAACCAACACAGACAACAAATGTAACTGCCGTTTCGATAGGATGAGAGCGGCCCATCGGCACCTATAACATCACTTTTTGGGGACGAAACCATAGCGCGATCTAACTCAACGCCAACGACATCTAGTTAGAAAACGGAAACTACATATTATTTACCCAAATGAATTAATTAAATCATGAATTAAAACTAAATTGTAGTTAATTTAACAGACAAGTACATTATTTTTGCATTAAAAAATATAGTAACAGCAGCAAGGAACAAAACTAAGAATTACATACTTGAATCAATTAATTACAACAAATTTGCTTAGTAAGCAAAGACATTTAAATAGGCAGTAGTAATAGACCAGACATCAGTAACATAATTGTCATCTGTAACTTTTGTCCTATAGGATATATCTCCGATTTTCGTCATTTAGTCTAAGTGACATCGTTAAAAGGTCAAGACGCATTCATTTTATAAATTTAAAAATATTTTTAAAGAAAATATGCCTGGTTGTGTATTAAAGTATTGTAAATCACGATATGGAGCAAAAAATGAACGTGATTTCGGTTTATTATCGTAAGAATAATGTGTATTTACCAAATAATCTTTAAATGTTATTATTTCTAGTATGTTGTTCGAGAAGAAAGAAAAATCATTATTGTAATAAGTGCCCTCTGTTATCCAGTAACGTCACTATTTATTTACAAATACGTTAGTGATTAACGATGTGCCTACATAGGATTTTAACCTTATGTTTAGTAGTGTCACCTACTGGGAAATAGCTAAAATGTTTTCTAGGTAAATATTCAGTGTAGTATTGCTATATTTCGTTAGCGGGTGTAATACATGCGCGTGGTCACAGCACTTTTAATGAAAATATGCCTGGTTGTGCATTAAAGTATTGTAAATCACGATATGTAGCAAAAATAAACGTGATTTCGGTTTATTATCGTAAGAATAATGTGTATTTACCAAATAATCTTTAAATGTTATTATTTCCAGTATATTTTTCGAGAAGAAAGAAAGAAAATCATTATTGTAATAAGTGCCCTCTGTTATCCAGTAACGTCACTATTTATTTACAAATACGTTAGTGATTAACGATGTACCTACATAGGATTTTAACCTTATGTTTAGTAGTGTCACCTACCGGGAAATAGCTGAAAAGTTTTCTAAGTAAATATTCAGTGTAGTATTGCTATATTTCGTTAGAGGGTGTAATACATGCGCGTGTTCACAGCATTTTTAAAGAAAATATGCCTGGTTGTGCATTAAAGTATTGTAAATCACGATATGGAGCAAAAAATGAACGTAATTTCGGTTTATTATCGCAAGAATAATGTGTATTTACCAAATAATCTTTAAATGTTATTATTTCTAGTATATTGTTCGAGAAGAAAGAAAAATCATTATTGTAATAAGTGCCCTCTGTTATCCAGTAACGTCACTATTTATTTACAAATACGTTAGTGATTAACGATGTGCCTACATAGGATTTTAACCTTATGTTTAGTAGTGTCACCTACCGGGAAATAGCTGAAATGTTTTCTAAGTAAATATTCAGTGTAGTATTGCTATATTTCGTTAGAGGGTGTAATAAATGCGCGTGGTCACAGCATTTTTAATGAAAATATGCCTGGTTGTGCATTAAAGTATTGTAAATCACGATATGAAGCAAAAAAATGAACGTGATTTCGGTTTATTATCGTAAGAATAATATGTATTTACCAAATAATCTTTAAATGTTATTATTTCTAGTATGTTGTTCGAGAAGAAAGAAAAATCATTATTGTAATAAGTGCCCTCTGTTATCCAGTAACGTCACTATTTATTTACAAATACGTTAGTGATTAACGATGTGCCTACATAGGATTTTAACCTTATGTTTAGTAGTGTCACCTACTGGGAAATAGCTAAAATGTTTTCTAAGTAAATATTCAGTGTAGTATTGCTATATTTCGTTAGAGGGTGTAATACATGCGCGTGCTCACAGCATTTTTAATGAAAATATGCCTGGTTGTGCATTAAAGTATTGTAAATCACGATATGGAGCAAAAATGAACGTGATTTCGGTTTATTATCGTAAGAATAATTTGTATTTACCAAATAATCTTTAAATGATTATTTTGTGCATTCAATTACGAAGAAAAACTTTTTAAAATCAATATTGCTTACCTCCTATAACATACGGCGTGATAATATGTAGCCTAAAGCCTTCCTTGGTAAACAAAGAACATTTTTGCTTAATTTCAATTCAATCCATCCAGTAGTTTTGGCGTGAAGCCGTACCATATACACAGACAAACAGACAAACGGACAAACAGACAAAAATTGTAAAAAGTCACTTTTTATCATCAGTTACGTTTTTCTAACAAAATCCACTAATTTTTTTCTCGAAAATTCTCAATGTACAGTTTTTTTTTTCGTTACTGTTTTATTATATGTATAGATATACCTATTTTGTTTATATCTACAATAAATAACACTTGGTAAAAAAATAAAAGGGTTTTTCTGCCTTGGACTGCGGTCTAGCCTGTCAACCCCCTAGCAGTCTCATGACACCGCGGCCATATTCCATCAAATCCCTAGCGGTCTAACGAGGTTGCGCCCACCCACAGCACCTTAACCCATAATACTTGTATATAGAGACTTTTTTCTATAAAGAAGTTTGGCATTATATAATCAATGTGAAATACTCTTCTTATCCTATGAATATTTATTTATAATCTACGTTTATTTTGTACGCCATTTTCGCGTGAATTTTATTGTGTTGATTTTTGGATTTTTCTAGTGTTTTGTTAGACTTTTAGGAATGTTTTATTATAAAATTGTAATGAAAGTTTTTGTTAGAATATAGTTTATCTTTTTACGCAATATATATTGAAATAATTGTGATTTTTACGCTGCCATCACACGCTTGGTGTTTTTATTTTTGTTATAAAAGTACAATAAAATCTTTTTGTAATGAAGTAAAACCTGTCTTTTGTTTAGGCCACAGGATAGAGAATTTTGTATAAGTTTTATAGTGCTAAACTTCTTTACAAAAAAAGTAGTCTCTAAATATAAGTTTTGGGATTTTTATGGCGCTTGAGGGGCTTATATTGAACTAAGAAGAGGTGTGATGCTTACACTGACTACGCTGATCACACTGCTGATCCCCTGGGACCATATTCTTCAAGTTCCATCATTCCCAAAGTTCCTGTATCAGATAGCAGCCTGAGAAGATATAGAAAAAGGGAGTTGACTGCTACAAACTTACATAAATGGTCAAAGAACAAGAAAGGACGTCGGGTAGGGTAATAATTCATTTCTTGATTCTTATTTAACTATTTAAAGAGTTTGTAGCATCGTTAACAAAGGAGCTTTGTTTATAAGCGATTTTAATCGGATTTAAATTTACTTATTTTTAATAAACATAACTCAAAAAATCGACATCTGAAGAATAAGAAAGGCTCTCGAGCTTCCTACATTTAGGTTTAAAGGTACTTAACATCTTACATTATTGTTTAGGGCAGCTCCCACTAAACAAAATCACGACCTGGTAAAATATGCAAGAAGTCGATGAATGCAAGTTGTGTTTCGCAAAGGAATTGTGATGGGATGTTATAATGATAACAAATATAATTTAATATCATACATGGCTATAAATCCATTCTATATACCAGCTAATTGGTAAAGCAATACCAGCAACATTCGTTGATTTTTTTGCTACGTGAGCTAAGCAATCAGCTGTTTTTTCTCCTAAAGTCAAGATTCCTGCTATACCCGATGTATGAATAAGAGGACCACCAGAATCTCCTTCGCAAGCTGTAACTCGATGGCCACATCTTCTTGCTAAGCAATAAGAATTGGTAAAGTAGTGCTCTGGGCATTTATATATTAAAACTTTTAAAACCTGTAGTGGTTTCCTCAGTGCGAGGGTGCTGTTTGTTTCGATTTGACCTCCTGGAAGAGTTACACTTGTCCTACCAAAACCAGCTAGGTCGGCTTCATGACCAAGTACTGATAAATAATCCACAGCGCCAATTTTCATGTAATTTGCAATACGCATGGGTGTTACTTGCATAAGACCTACGTCGTTCTCATTGTTTCTGTATAAAAGATGCTTAATAGTGTGCAAAAAATCGCTAAAAAAATGATTTGTCCGTTGTGGGTCGAATCATTTTCCGTATCTTATGACAAATTTCACTTCAAAACTTTGGAGCCAAGAAACCAAGCAATGTGCCGCAGTTAGTACCCATGTTGACATTACATTAAAGCTTGTCGCGAGATTTACCTTTGTACATAAAGAAGAATTCACTATGTATGTAAATTAATTATTAAGTAAGTAGGTAATTCTAAAAAAATACGTTTTTTCATAAAATATGTAAATCTCTCGAAAAGTTCTTGTCATATAAATTGTGTACGGTGTAAATTGATGGGTTTAGTTAATAGTAAAGTAAAAGGAAATTTAATTTTCTTTTTATACCATTTTAGTAAAAGCTTGTTTTAAAAATTGTTTACTCTTGATTTATTATGATAATAATCTTAGAGATAAACACACATATATAGATGATACTCATTTATGGTGTAACATATAAAATGATTTGATATTGCTACCACGGAATTTTTTGGACGGCTTAAAAATAATTCGTCCATTCTGAAAGGAATATAAAAAATTGGTTGATACTGCTGACCATCTCTGGAAATTTCCACTAATTTTAATATCAGAGCGCTCCACATTCCAATTTTGGAAAACCAATTTTTTTATTTTTTTATAATTGGACATTTCACGAACTCATCAACCGATTTTGATGTGATTTACGGCATTTGACGCAATTATTTTAGCATAATAAATTTTATATTTTATATTTTTTTATTTATATTTCTATAATTTATTACAAAAAAAAATCTCGGAAAATTTTCAAGTTATTTTGAAAATACATTTTTTCAAGACTTCTTTTGTCAATGATGTCTCTCAAACGAATTAACCGATTTTGATTCGTTTCACAGCAACCGGCGTTGTTTTTTGAATAAAAGAGCTGATTAGATTCTAGAATTAATCAAAACTAAAAATGTCTCAAAGTAATTCCAAGAAAACTAATTTTTGTAAATAAAAATACCCGAATTTTTGGGGTTTTCTCAGAATCAACACCGACGATTCGGTATAAATTCACAGACAATGTAAGTTCATTAAGGCTCTTTTAGATGCCGAAAATCGCTTTTCGATCGGACTCATTTACAAAGTTATGAGATGTGTGACATAATTGAGATTTGAACATCATGGAGGCAGTTAAAAAACGTTATATATATAAAACGTACTAACGGTTTTCTCTCTATTTAATGGAAATATACATAAAAAAAGGTTAATATCTCGAGAGTAGTCATGTGAAAGTAATTCTAGGAATTTTTCTGATTTCGATTCAAGGTTTAACGTTTTTATAACTCCATATTAATTTTTAAGATCGTATAACAATAATTGTTTCATACCGAGACATAACTATATATCCTTTCAATATACGGGCTTATCGGTAAAACAATACCTGAGACATGTACATGTACATGCCTCTTTTTGGTTGGATCTAAGCAATCTCCGGATCTTTCTCCTAAAGATAATACTCCTACTAGCCCTGAAGGATGGATAAGTGGCCCACCTGAATCGCCTCCACATACAGTAGCTTTCTGGTCGCACTTCGGAGCTAAGCAAAAGGCTGGAGCCAATCGCTCATCATATGTGCATTTAGTAATTAGCACATTCAAAACTTGCAGTGGCTTTTTCAGCTCAAGAGTAGAGGCTGTTTGAATTTTATCTCCTAGAACAGCAGCCCTAGTTATTCCATAACCGGCAATAATAGCTTCGTGGCCATACAAAGACAAGTAATCTGTAGCACTAAGTTTAATATAACGTGATATATTCATAGGTGTTGTCCGCACTAGACCAACGTCATTTTTCATTACTCGGTTGAGTAACTCTCCGTATGTGATTGTGTATAACGGATGTCTGACTGTGTATAAAACATCACTAAATGAATCGTTAACTAATGGTGAATTATGCAGGTGCCCGTATCTTATTACAAGTTTCTCAGTATTACTATGCGTTACAAGACAACAGTGGGCCGCAGTTAGCACCCAGGTTGCTGAAAGTGCTGATCCCGTACACACATGATCATGCTTGGCAATAATAGTGTTATTGGTGAAATTTTCCATAGTCTGTTCTTCTAAACGAACGATATATGGATACTCATCTTGGTTCGTGTCATTTCCTCCAATAATTCTTAACGGTGATTTTAAACTGAATGAATTCTTGGCAAACAACATAAAAAACATCAATAAGCTTGGTAATATAGACTCTTTTATTCGTTTTTCTTTTTTAAAGGGGTCGCAATTTGAATTGTACATATTATTCGTTTTTAAAAGAATATTTTAAAGAGGAAATAAAATTAGACGAAATCTAGAGCCACCGTGTACAATATTCAAAAAGAAACAGAAATTCTACGACTTTATCTGAAGAAATATATCATTTCATTTGATTTATTTTTATACGTATTTTATAGGTTGCTTTAAAACGAAATTTTAAATTTGAATTTGCTTCATTTTCACAAACGATTTATATTTATGATTACAACATACGAACTTTCACTTACACATTTAAATCTTGCAAAGTTCTTCTTGCATCTCGTGACCTTTTTAGCGTAAGAATGTCATCTGTTTCAATTTCACCTCCCGGAAGATTAGCTTCGCGGCCATATACAAAAACAAGTATTTATTTATTCACGATATGTTTTAAAGTAAATTATAGCAATTATTATATACGCAACATTACATAAAAACATAAATATTATACATAATATAAAAAAGATTCTATAATATAGAAAAACTAACACTAAAAATTTAAATAGTCGAAAAGTCCTGCTCCCAGTGGTATAGTGCCAAGAACGCTGGCTGCATTTCCTCGCTGAATAGCTATACTTAGCCTTTGAGGAAGGAAAGAACCGGCCCTCTTATCACCAGCAGCGAAGACCAGCCGTGGATAGAGTTCCTTTAGAAACTTCACTGCACGTGAACCCCACGAACCGATAGTCTCTACTGCAAATGGCACAAACACTCGTATGTAGTCATTTCTCGAACACTCATATTTGCGCCATTTACTAAATTCGGCTGCCTCTGATGACGCCCCGGCTCTAAAAGAGGTACCCTTGAGATGAGAGGCCGCCAAAGTGTCAACGCAAGTAGCATCTCACAAAGTCATACGGTCGGGTCTCCTGCCATCGCCTATTGCAGGCTCTAAAACCGAGGGAATATTTATGGAGACAAGAGCCCTTCGGATGAACTCGTTCAAAGAGCAATTTTATTTATTTAATCATTAATGTTAACACCTTTATAAATAGGGTAGCAAAGGGTGGATTTAAAGCATATAGGCATTCTCTGACAGCCAACACGTGGAGTGATCAGATTTTGCAGCAGGTTCAATATTATACACACACACACACACACACACACACATAAATATATATATATATATATATATATATATATATATATAATAGTACATTTGATATACTATATTAAACATATATTTTGAATACACAGATACAACATTTACCTTATATATAATAAAACAACACTTAAAATTGCAAATTGTAAAAATCTTAATATTTAAAAATATTTCATTATCATTATTTATGATCCAATATCTCTTTGTTTCAAAAAGTAGTCAGGTACCAACTTTTAAAAACGGCCCTTACTTGGCGCTCTTCTTACGTTTGCGGGCAAGTAGTACCAGTTCCTGAATACGAGGGGTGATCCAAAAGCAATGATAATGAAAATAAAACACGGTAATTAAAGTTAAAATAATAATTTATTTTTCTACATAGTCTCCTAAAAAATCAATACATTTAGTCCATCTTTTTTCTAAATCCAGGATTCCCTTTGAAAAAAATTCTTTGTCTTGACCCTCCCAAAACGCATCAAACGGCCATTACTTCGCTATCGTCTTCGAATTTCGTGCCTCGGAGGCGTTACTTGAGCCGAGGAAAGAGGTAGAAGTCACTAAGAGCTAGATCTGGCGAATAGGGAGGGTGTTCGAGCAGTTCGAATCCCGTTTCTTGAATGACAGCCATCGCAAGTACGGCTTTGTGAGCTGGTGCGTTGTCTTGGTGAAACAGCACTCCAGCTCGCAGTTTGCCGTGTCTTTTTTCCTTAATGGCCTCCCGTAATCTTCTTATTTCTTCTGCGTAGTAAGAGCCCGTAATAGTGGCTCCCTTTTTCAAATATTCCACCATAATTATGCCTTGAGCGTCCCAAAAAACAGATGCCATAACCTTTCCCGCCGGACTTGAAACTTTGAATTTCTTTGGCGTTGGTGAGGAGGCTCGTTTCCAAGTCATCGATTGTTGTTTCGTTTCAGGATCAAAATGGTGGATCCAAGTCCCGTCCATAGTCACAAAACGGAACAAAAAATTTACTTGATCTGCTTGGAACTTTTCGAGATTGACTCTCGAAATGTCAACTCGATTTTTCTTTTGCTCGTCGGTTAACATTATGGGTACCCAACGCGCAGAGACCTTTTTCATATGCAACTCGTTCGCAAGGATTCTTTGAACGCTGCCATATGAGATCCCTGTGACCTCAGCTACATGCCTGATGGTCACTCTTCGATCTGCCAGCACAACATCTTCGACTTTTTTCACGTTGTCTTCAGTGAGGGACGTGGATGGGCGTCCTTCGCGATGTTCATCTTCAATGGATGTTCTGCCCAGTTTAAACTCCTTGGCCCAGCGTGCAACTGTAGAATATGGAGGAGCAGAGTCCCCCAATGTTTCCACTAGGTCACTGTGTATATCTTTTGAAGACATCGTATTAAACGAATTGAATCCAGTGAAATGCGATGGAATGCTCATTATATGTTTAGATGAAGAGTGAAAAACCTTAGCATGAGTTGAAAAGACATAATGAAGTTTGTCGGTTAGATATTTTGTAGAAAATTAATTATTCAAAATTGAGAAAGGAACGAGCAGAATTGTACAGTTTCGTCTGTGTCGTATAATGAGCCATTTTATGCATAAGTGTTAGCTTATTCTTGATAGGAACAAAGTTCTTTAGACGATAGAGGGATCGTAAAATGTCAAACATTTTGCGGCTTATTTCAGTGATACATACATACATGGGGTACATATATAAATATATATTAACACTCACGCCTGTCAACCAGAAGGGTAGGCAGAGACTACGGACTTCCATTTGACATGATACTGACATAGCTCTCTCGCCTCCTCCACATTCATATACCTACGCATACATGCTTGTCGAGGAGCCGTGGTAGCTCAGATGGTTAGCTTTCGCTGTAAATTTCACAATACGCGAGCAAACCGGGTTAGATCCCCGCCGGCACCAATGAAATTGTTAATTGCAATTTTAAGTGCTGATTTACCACGTGCTCGGCGGTGAAGGAAAACATCGTGAGGAAACCTGCATGTCTGAGAAATAAGAAAAAAAAATATTTCGAAGACATGCGAAGTTCGCCAACACGCATTGGGGCAGCGCGGCGGGCTATTCATTGCCCTAAAACCTTCTCAGAAATGAGAGGAGGCCTGTGCCCAGCAGTGGGACGTATATGGGCTGTAACTTTACTTTACTTACTTTACATGCTTGTCGGTTAAGGGTACTCCCGATATGGCCCGTTTTCATAAAATTTCAGTTTTTCAGTTAATTTTTCAATTACATGTTTGTACATAGAATGTAAAAAATGCCTTTAGGGTTTAAATAAGTTTTAAAAAGGTTAATGCTTTGCTATCTGGTCGTATTAAGTACTTGTTAATAATTATTAAGCCCAAACTCTAATTGTTTATTATTACAACCTTAAGGCTGCTGACAAGACTTTACATTAACGTTATTTTGACTTGTACTTACTGAAACGGGCTTTAAGGTCACCTGGAAACGTTGCTTAGAATTTTTTATTATTGCTTTTATACTATTATCATTATCTAGCTGACCTACAGTAATGTCAACATTTTGTATTACAGAGAAAGACATCTGATGAATATGCGTATAAAATTTGAATACAATCTTTTCATTTTTGTCCATAGAGTTGCCACTACAAGATACCAATGTTAAAAGCTCTCTGGAAAAAAATTATCTATTATCTTGTAGCAAATGTTGGCCCCTTTGTTTCCTGATCCGGGAGAGCATAATGTTGACATGATTTTAAAATATTTGCTACGAAATGCCGGATTCTTTCATTTATCCTCCAGCTCAAAAAGCTGCTCCACTATTTTGAATGGAGGAAACCATTCTTCCAAGAAGTTCTCTTGATTGGTAACTTTTACTGTGGCATTACAGTCAGCGATTTTACATCATAATTCATTTAATAGAACTTGATGCTTCGCAAGCTGCTGCAATATTTTTTTCTGATTACTCTACGTGCTTGGTTTTCAACCACTTCGTCGTTAGCATTTAGTAAAAATGAAGTCTTGACGTCATTAAGGGATATACAGTCCGCCTGAGAAAAATAAAAAATGATCATATAAAAACAGTTATTTTCACACACTGACTTCGCGCCATCCCCGCGCGGACATCTAGTTTGTAGGTGTAGATTAATTTTTTATCGCCGTTCATGTCATTTCTAATTAAACCCAAAATCAATAAATCATTAAATTGATTCGGTACTTACTGGTATGTAGTTTGTTTCTTTTATTAAAAATGGGGAAAGGGATGATATATTTCACAAGAACTCCTTGTGATATCTCTTTCTATTGTTCGTTTACCTACAAAACACTAAAAATAATAAAACCAAAATTCTAACTTACTTTCATTCGAAGAACAGCCCGTAGTAGTTCGCACATATTTGTAACCATCGGTCGAACGCAAGTCCGGTTACAACTAAAACTTTAAAGTACTAATTGTGCTCAGCGGCTGTTTTTGCGACTGGTAAGTCTTGAACTACTCCTGGCTGGATAACCTTTAAGTTGCGAAAACAGCCTTATCGTTTTAAGTAGGTCTGCGAGATTACCTTTAGCTCTTATTTTGGCAAACATTGAGAGCTTTTAGCTGTTGCAGTTTTAAAAAAAGTTAATTTTAATTCCTTAGAGTAATTTGCTTACGCCAGCCATATTTGTTCACGAAAATTAAAAAAAATGTTGTAAAAAATCAACTTTTGAGTAAATTAAGGAGCGTGTGCGTCGTTGCTTTTTATTCAATTAGAACTTTTATTTATATTGCCCTACTTTACACTAACTTCCGCATTTTATGTTTCTTATTTCATTAAAATATCTCCAAAAATTGTAACTTTCGAAAGGCCCGTATATTATATAGCATTATTATCTTAAAGTATCACTATAAAGCGCCAGTCGCACTACATTTGTCCTGAAAACAAGAAGTTAATTGCATAATATTTTTATGAA